AGAATGCATACCAAATCAGCAAACTCGGTTCCCTTCCAAGTGGCATCAAAGAGGTAATGGGTGATTTCAGTTGCGCTTAGAGCTTCTCTCAAGAGCTCTTTCTCAGAATAGAAAACACAGTTCTCTACTTCCAGGTTCCTTTGATTTCCTGGCCCAAATCAGCAGGCTCCCAAACCACCAAGTAAACAGGCTACCTGCACTGAAATGCAAATAGCAATGTCCCTGCAGGGCCTGGCAGGCCAAATGCCTTGACACCGAGAGATAAAGATGGGAGATAAAGGAAGGAGACCGGCATAGCCTAGGAGAGTATGGCTTCTGCCAAGAGGAATGCGGCACCAGAGGGCTCTGTTAGGTCCTGGGAGGAAATTATTTTCCCTGCAGTCAATCCTAAAAGCTTCTAAGTGAAACAAGGATAATGATAAAGAAGAACAACGGGCCACAGTGCTGCCGTGTAGCCCTGAAACCCTGCTGTGTGGCGAGGGAGAGCAGATGTGCAGGTAGGTTTATCGAGATGACTTCGCTTGTGCTGCAAATGTCAAAGCCCCAATTTCACTCACGAACACATGAGGAATTCTGAGGCCTCCATGTAACAAGAGTACCTGACACATGTTCCATGATGACCAGTTCCCTCTTTCACTCATCCGTCGTTCAATCATTCATTCACTCAAGAAATATTCACATGCCTATTTTAATATCATTACCACTGAGCTTATTATTCTTTCATTTCAAAGGGTCCCAGGAGCTCAGCAATGTCTTCTGACAGTAACGCCATGTGTCCTAACAATGGAACCCAGAGCTCTGCCCACCTGGTGGCCCTAAGCCTAGCTGCTCGACTCTATACAACACACTATGTCATGTACAACACATAAACACACATGAGGAGCGTCATGAAGTCCTGGTCCTGCATACAAGAGACTGCCCCCTGCTTAAATCCCTCAAATCTAGTTAATTCTGTCTACCATTATCACCTCGACACCACTTCAACTCCCTACTTAAAATCAATATTTTAAGTGTGTGCTTAAATGGTATCAATAGCAATTAGAGAGGGGACTTCTGAATCCACCCCAGATGTAGTTAATTGTTGTAGCATTGATCTCTCTTCTAATGCATTTCTTTTTCCAAATTAAACCCCTATTACAGAGGGGGATGAAGAGTATCCTTTCCCCTCCTGTGACAATAAATTTAATATCGAATGCAATGGGAAAAAAATGGCAGTTGCTACAGAATCCATCCAAAAAGACTTTTTTCCCCCTTCCTGGGAGTAATTAAAAGATGCTTTTCTTGACTAATGATTCCCCTGTTTAGGAATGGGAAGTCAATACTGCTTCAGCGGCCGTCAGCTTCGATTGATCACGATGCTGCTCAAGTTTGAACGGCAGTTCTCAGGGCGGCTGAGAATCACTGGAACCAATTATAAGCCGTCCTAAGCTGGCCTAATCAGGGGTGCAGGGACAACAAGCAGAAGGCCAGCCAGCTGTTCAAAGGCGCCTGTTTTCCTAACTCGCCCGCAGATCTGGGTGACTCCAATGTGTGGTTATTTCTTTGGAGGAAGATCTGCTATATTCTACTCCCCATGCTCCTGAATCTGAGAGAGAGAGAGAGAGAGAGAGAGAGAGAGAGAGAGAGAGAGAGTAGTATATGTGTGTCGGGGGGTGGGTGGGAGGAACAACACATTTCTAATTATATTCCACTGTCAGAATGAATCTTCTGAACAAGATGGAATGGACTAGAGCTCCTCGGGAAAACAGCTGGGCCCTTTTTCAAAGAATTAGACGGAATATATTGCATTTGGCTTTTCCTTGGATAGAGATAAAAATTTATTAAAATATTTCTTTTTGGTATTACCATAGGGCCACATTAAAAGAAGCTTCCAGCTGTTTCTACTAACAATCATAGGTTCTGCAGAGAGACCAAAGTGGGTGGAATGAGGAGGGGGAGGGGTGAGGGTGGCTTAGAAAGGCAAGATCCAGACCAGATAGCCATTCTTGTATCGGGGACAGAATTCTATGTGAAAATTCTAGCCCAGACTTTGAGTTTTTAATTTCTGTTTAAGTAAAGTGCAGTAGGTGGTAATGGTGATTGGTGTTTGAGTTACTTCTATACTACGGGACTGAGTTTTTTTTTGCTTTTGATAGTGTTTCCTTTTTTTTTTGAGGAGGAGTCTCACTCTGTCACCCAGACTGGAGTGGCACACTCATGGCCACAGCAGCCTCAACCTGCTGGGCTCAGGTGATCTTTCCACCTCAGCCTTCTAAGTAGCTGGAACCACAGGCATACACCACCATGCCCGGATAATTTTTTGATTTATTGTAGAGATGGGGTCTCACCAAATTGCCCAGGCTGGTCTCAAATCCCTGGACTCAGGCAATCCTCTTGCCTCCACCTCCCAAAGTGCTGGGATTATAGGTATGAGCCATGGCGCCTGGCTTTGATAGTGTATCTAAGGCTTTCTGTAAGCTCCACCAGGATCATAACCGTCCAACTGGCCTCCTGCCTCTTGTTTCTGTCCCGTTCAATGACCTTGCTGGCTGCTTTTAGTCCTCTTGGGAACATATAGTACACATAAACAGAGCAAACCACTCTCTCTCTGCCCCACCCCCAAAGGCCTTCTTAAGATACCAGCCCTGACTGAGAGGCCCTCCCAGGTTTCTGCTCTGTTTTGGCCTCATCTATCCCCATCCTACTCATTCACAGGGAGGGTCCTGACCCATGGGTGATGCATTCACAGGTTCATCAGTAGGCAACTTCCCCAGAGTCTGGGTCTTCCCACCATGTTGTCATCTCCCACTCTTCAGCATACCTCCCCTCACCCCATGGCCCTGGGAATCACCACCAATTTCAGAGTCCAGTTCAGATGCCATTTCTTCAGTGACGCTTCTCAGAGCATACCAACTGTAAGAATCCCCACACTCCATGAATTCTACCAAGCCCTAGTATCCTCAGCCAGTCCTGAGAATGTTCACCAATCACTGTAGAGTTCTAACCATCATTTATCATTTCTTTTCTATGAGAAACTGCTCAATGAATATCTGCTGAGTTCAATTGAAAACAAAACTCCCTGGGAGAATTACCAAAGGCACAAAAACCCCCCATTCAATTCTCATATATATTTATCTTCATAGACACGAACAGAATTTAGAAACTCAAAAGTTACCTTTGGAAACACATAACCACATCACCATCACCACAGCCTTGGAGGAGAATGATAACTCAGCACCGCTCTTTAGGAAAGTCAAGGTGACCAAAGAAAAGACGGAACTTAATTACAATCACTCCATTTGTGAGAAAGGAAGTCTTTGAAATATGACTCTAAAATATAAAGATGTGATGTATGCAACACTAGATAGAAGACTAAGTTACACACTCAAGAGCTTAATTCAAATATACAAACTGTAACTATAAAATACCTATATACACACAATTTTAACTTATGCATGATGCTGAAATTAACATATTTATCCATTAAAAAATTAACCCACATCTTTGTTTCTAATTATTCTAATTCTAATTTTAATGGATGGAAAAAGAAGCTTTTTAAACTCATATTTAAAATAGTATATGTGTTCCTTTCGCACAAAAACAGTAAGATGCACAGTTAATTTTTTCCCAACTTATTTCAGTGTTTTCTGCATTCACACATTAAGCAAAATCTAATTTCCAATCATTTTTCATTTTCAGACCCAAATTTCCTCAATGTGACTATACTTATGAAAAATAGATATTAAAACATGAAATAGTCTTCTAAGCATGCTCATAGTTGACCCAGCTAACTACTATAGTAGTGTTAAACAAATCAAGAAAAATAATTTTTGAAGCATGCCATTTCTTCTGTTTGTAAGAAAGTCACCTATATTTACATTCTATAGCATAGCTCAGAAATAGCTCCTGTATCAACCCATGCCATTTTAAACAGATAAACCCTCCCTATAGAATACCTAACACGAAGAACAAGATTAATAACATACTAGCTTCATTCTCTTCAGTGAGCCAAAGGTGGCACCACAAATACATTTTTCAGTGTTAATGAATTAAAGTCCACCAACTCTTTTCACATTCTTATTGCTCAGTGGTAGAAACCGACTTCTGTGGCTTTACCAGAGATTACCACTTGAACTTTCATTTTATCTGATCACCAGCAAAACAAACCAGAGAAATCTGAAGAGTGCTAATGATGGGAGACATCTCCTCACCCTTTATCTCTTCACACACCTGAGAGGCGAATGCTGAAAGCAAACCTCAAACCCCTACTTCATATGTAGGAGAAAAAACACACACAGCATCTGAGCAACCCTGGGAGCCACTTGCTTTAGACAACTACAGAGATGAAATGGTCCAGTCTGCCTCTATGAAATACGCCTTCTCAGAAGACATGCCATTTCATCACCTCTTAGGAACATTAAATATGTATGTGTACTCAAAAACGGTTTATAATAGCTGTAAATGAAAAATGAGAAACTAAATGGCCACAAAATAAATGCGTTTTTTACACTGGATAACAATTAACATTAATGAGGAGTCACCATACATTATGCCGAACTTAGTTGATTAAATGTGTTAGAAATATATTTTAGAAAATAATATATATTTTGTCACCATAAAAATAACTTGTGGGGGGGAATCTATGGAGCAGATGCTTATCAAAGATATAAGAATAACAAAATTAAAGAATCAAAAATTCATAATTAGCATTAACAGCACAGCTTATGCCTATTAGAAATGTATTAATTAAAGTAATATATTCATAAGATTAGGAGCTTAATACATTTCTAAGAGGGGGAGAGAAATCCCCAAGGCCTAAAAACAAACATAAAAAATTAAGGAGTCTGAATTATCCATGTCTGCTTAAGACCAATTTTCAATATAGACATTTCCATGCTGGGTTAATCGGCATTCCTACAGGTTGCCAGGGCTGTTCCAATCGTGGCTGTCATTAAGGTCATTTCCAGTTGTCTAATTGTTGGCAAGGCGCATTCAGAGCTACTCGCCTTCCAAGTTCCTACCTTGTGGAGTCTAACGAGGGTTTTGTCCGCCCCTGGCTGCTCTCTTCCCATACGCTGTTTGCCAGCTCGTTCCCAATCGATGACATCACCTTGATAAGCTCGATTGGCCAGTCGTCAAGGTCCAGAGATCGGACTCGGGAGAGGTGGGTGCCAAGATTGCGGTGGATCCCTGAGCACTCGATGCACATGAGGGCTCCCAAGTTCAAACTGGCCCAGTTAGGATCTGCGGGAAGAGGAGCAGGATGCCAAATGCAATCGGACCATCATCACTCATTCCAACTCTCTTAGAAACAAAGCCACCAGTCTGGTACACTTCACATCAGACAAGCCCTCCCTAGAATCACATGGCTTGAAAATAGTCCCTGGCCAGTACTTGATACTGTTCTAAGTGTCCCAAAAGATTTGGCAGTCAGTAGTAACTTCAAAAAAAAGTTGGCATAAGACGAAGTCTGAGAATTTCCCATGCAATTCCCAATTGTAACTGTTGGTTTGGATAGAAAGATGCACTTTCCTGTGTTACCTGGAAAGGGCTGAGCTATATGGAAAAAAAATCATGTGTGACTCAGCATCCACTGTGAACAGCATCTGCCAGGAGGGAATGAGAAGGGGTGCCAAGGGGCAGATGGGTGACATCATTGCTCTGCACCATTCCCAAAGCTGTAATGTCCCTCATAACCATCACTGCAGCCACTGGCACATCAAAGTTTTTATTGGGTACACAATGGGCATGCTTGCAAATTTCAAAGATGAAAGAGAGGCACACTACAATGAAAATGCATGGTTTTCAGTTCTCTCATTTAAGAATAACTACTGAAGAAACTTCACTGCAGGCAAGTTGGTGGTCAGCATCCTATGATTAGGTTATCGCTCAGCTTGATCAACCCTGACTTGTAGAATAAGTGGTAATACACTTTCGGCTGTGCTACTAGACCAAGACCACAACTGTGCAGCACAACAAATGAGTTCAGAGAATAACACTGGAAACCTAGAACTGGATCACTCCCTGTGTGAAACTGGTTGGCATCGTAAGACAACCAAGAACTCGAGTCCAGGGCTGACTTCATTGCTAGATAGGGTTTACCTTGACGGTCAATGGTTTTCACCACTGACAGAAGCAAAGAAGGCTTACTCATCTAGGAAAAGGCAATGTTTACTCAAGGACATGTGAGAAGCATCAACAAAGACCAGTCAGATGTTATATTTGACTCACTGGGGAGACATCCTTTGTTCTGTAAATGACAAATGTCCAGGAATGGCCTTACGCTGGCTGATTGAAAACCAGCCATTTATTTAACATTTAATACATACTCAAGAAGGTGGTGATAGGTGCCACAGGGAAGACATAAGAAGAGGGGTCTATGACCTCAAAGATGTTCTGGTTGGGAAGAGGAAATCAACGCTTCAACAAGACAAAACGAACAGGACAAAGAAATGCAGACTCAGTGCCAAAGAGTGCAGTCAGAACATTCACATGGGCAGCAAGAAGTCAGCAGTGGAGGGAATAGGGGGAAGCCTGACGCATGGAGAAGGGTCTGGCCTGGTCTCTGGGGTGCTTGGAGAGGAGGGAGGTGTGGTGAACAGCTGGTGTGGACCCCTCACTTCACAACTACACACCTCTTCACAATCTGACTTCATTGGCCCCTCAGCTTCTGTACCTCCTGATCATTTACAATCTGGTCTTGGTCGCCCGACCAGGGACACAGCACAGTCAATGTCACAGACTCCTCCAGGGATAGACCCAGAGGACCCCTTTTGGCCACTGTTTCACCAGGATGTCTTACAAGAAGGCCAGTATCCAGTTTTCCCTTCACAACACTGACTTCTGGTGCCTTTTGGATCAACAACCTGTTGAATTTTTTTTCTTCTCTTCTAGTTGCTTCAACTTGATCTCTTACCCAAGTCTTCCTTCTGAATCTGCCCCAATGTCTCAGGGGTCCTGTGGGCTCCTCTCTTGATTCTACACCCTCTTTCAGGCAAACTCAACCCAATCCATGCCTTCAATTATTACCCCAATGCTAACAGCACCTATATGTAGCTCCCACCTCTTCTTTGCTCTTGAGCTCAAACATCATCACCATGGACATTTCTACTTGGAAATGGAACACTTTGCCCTAGAAGTGCATTCTTCTGCCAGCTACCCTGTATTCTTCTGTCTCAGCTATTCAAGTCAAGACCCTGGGGTTCCACCTTTATTCTTCCACATTCCCACAGTTGATCACAAAATACTCAATCTCTCTCAAATCCAACCCTTTCTTTTTGAACCTGTTCTCCCACCCTAGTCCTCACCCTCACCCCAACAGGGGTGCAACAGTCTCCCATCTGCAGCCTCATCTGCCACCTCTCTGCAGACACTCTCCACATAGCAGCCAGGGACCTACTGAACACGGTACATCTGATCATGCCATGCCACCGTTCAACACCCAGCCATGGCTGCCACTTGCCATTCAAATCAAGTCCAAAATCCCTCCCAGCAAGATTGGAACCGAGCTAACTCCCACTCCCATCTTCACCTTGTCTCATATGCACACTCTTCAGTTCCTCTACCCACCTGTGCACATTACTCCCTCCACTGCCTGGATGTTCGGTCCTCTGCCTGGTCCATTTCTAGTCATCTTCTGGTCCCAGCTGAAGTCTTCCTTCTTAGGGATGTTTTCCTCAACTGCGCCCTATCCCCAAGTGGAGTACCAAGTCCCCCCTGCCAGATGATCTCACAGTAGCCCACACTCTGCCCCAGGAGATCCTAACACATAGGATGCTTTGTTTTACATCTGCTTTCCCTGAGGGAAGGTAAGAGTCAGGTGGCATGAAGGGCTCTTTCCATTTGCATTGTCTCCTCAGGGCCTGCCTTGACTCCTCGTTTTTAGGTGGGTGAAGGAATAGCTTGACTGAAGCAGAAGATACATAGAAGGGGGTCAGTGAAAAGTAAGGGTGGCCAGGGAGGGGTAGGATTTACTAGGAAGTGACAAACTGCCTCAGTCTGCTCATGGGGGCAGCACCAGCAATGACAACACAATTAGCCAATGTCATATGTCAATCGACACCAGGACGGCTGGTAAATCTGCTGACAATGCTCCAATTCACATCAGAGAACCTAGTCAACAGGCTCTGTAGTTGATGCTGGTACATGAGGGTCTGGACAGGTCTAATGTGCCACACAGAATTTCTGAGGGACCAACAAGAATGATCTCAGCTGACACCAGGCTCATAGTATTTTCAGCTAAGTTCAATGCTGAACTCATCACCTGTCACTATTCCCCTGTGGCCCCCCATGTCCACCACATCACCCCTTCTCCTCCCTTTTGATCCCACATCTGGCCCATCACTAACTGCTGCAGGGAATATTCTTACACACTGTCCCCGTTGTCAACAGACATCTGGATCCCTGTGGTCACTTGCCTGAACTACTGCAAGAGGCTCTTATTTGGTTGCAATGTCCAGTAACTCCCCTCTCCCCCCAGGGCTGCCGTGGGTTATCTCACGGACACAGACACCCTATCACACTGACCCCTTATGCAGAGCTCAGGGTACTACTCTCCACCCCCAGAGGCTCCTAGGCTGTCCTTGCCCAGATCTGAAAGAGGACATTCACACATGGGAAACATTCCAGTGACCAGACTCAGATTTCTATGAAAACCAAAATATACTGGAGGTGAGAAAGGGGAACAAGGTGTTCCAGTACCCCAATCTCACCACACCTCTGCCCACAGAGGCACAGGAAGACTGGGGCTTACTGAGGGGAGGGCCTTGCGTCTGCTCCAGCAGATAATGACGGACCAGCATATATTAGTGTCTAAGCCTCACTAGTTGCAATTTCCTTGTGACACACCTTAAAACCGACTGGGAGGCTCTGGAGTGTCTTGGCACTGGGGCTGAGATCCTCAGGCTATGGCTGATCCTGGCCTCCTAGCATGACTTCAAAGCTCTGAACTATCTCCTGTCTCCTTCTCTGGCTTCAGGTTCCCTTTCCAGTGCAGTGACTCCACACCTCCAGTGGCCCCTGTTCTGCCTGCCCTCTGGGCCTCCGTGCCTGTGTGTGTGCCTGTCTGTCAGTATATGCCTTTTACCTTTGTCTGTCCCTCGCAGGACTTTTTCCCTCTCTGGGCCTTAGCGTCCCCCCGCTGAGAAATGAGGCTAATAATTCCCATCCTCAAGGGGCTGTCATAAGGATTAAAAGCTATGAGGCACTTAGAGCAGTGACTGCCACATGGGAAGTATAGTGTTAGGTGTTGGCTGTAATTATATCTGTTCCTTCACGTATTCAACTGATATTAGTGTGCCTGCTTCTGGGGATACGACAGTGAACAAAACGAGGAAAAATCCCTGCCCATGTAGAATGTAGGTTCCATGGGAGGAGACCCACAAGGAAGAAATGAGAAAATCATAGTATATATCAGAGCCAGGAAGCTCAGGGGGAGCAGAACAGAGTGTGTGGGTACACGTGTGCAATTAAAAACCCAATGATAAGGGAAGGCCTCTCTGAGAGGTGACACTGGGGCAAAGACCAGAATTGGGCCAATGGCTCTATCTGCAGGCCAAGCTAAAGAAACAAGAGGCCGGATGTGCTCCTACCGTAGGTTGTAGTGGGCTATCTGGCGGTGGTGGTGGGTGCCAGTCCCCTCCTGTGTGCAGGCCGGGGGTCCACAAAGATAAATAAGTCAGGATCCTAGACATCAAGTAAGACATGGGAGAGAAGGGCACTTGTAAGGACCATGCAATGTGGCAGGAGAGGGTCAATACATGGTCAGCTCTGACCAGGGCTTCATGGACCAGGGGACAGAGAGCAGCCAAAAGGCTGGGCTGCCTCTAAGAGTCTGTTCATGAAGGTAGGCATGCTGGCAAGGACCACTTGAGGGTCCCAAGCACTAAGACTCTCAAGTGTCCTTAAGGGTGGGCTTCCTTTGGCACATTCCTGGCAATAGATGCCCTAAACAAAGACTTGTACTGTCAGATGGGTCTAAAACATGCTGGGTTGGACCATGTTGAACAAGTACCTACAGCAGGACTTCCCAGAAGCACAGATGTCCTAAGGCTGTGCCCTCCCAAGAGGGGGTTGCTGTTGAGTGTTCCCTAAATTCACTGGCTCTCAGAATCCCTTTATAGATGGGTGGCCGCAAAGCTACAGAAGTTCAGTGTCTGCCCTAAAAACAGTGTTCTGGGATATGCCATGTGTGCAGGCAGAGGAGACTCCTGGTGGTCTGGGACATTCTCAGCAAGAACTGGGGCCCAAAGGGGTGCCTTTTCTACAACTCCAAATCCCATGCTGCATGGAAGACCCCAACCCTCAAGACCCTACCACTCACCAGACAACTGGTGTTAACATTCTGGAATGCATCCTTACAGATCTTGTCCCTGTACATACCTACAGATGTCTACTAGATTCATCTAGTTACTGCCCTAACCCCTTTTCATTTTACAGTGTATTATGAAGCAATTCCATCTTAATATATTTTTCCATAGTCTTTTAAAGTAGCATATTATTTCACTATGAGAAGACACCAACACTAACTGTTCTTCGGTTTTTAGACTTTTGGGATGTTTCTGATTTTTTGCCATATAAGTAACACCGTGATGAACATCATTAAAACCAGATCTTTGTACCTACCTTGATCATTCCCATTGGTTTAGCTCCTGGATGTAAACAGCTGGAATCCAGGGTATCCACTCTTTGGATGCTTTCTATATAAATTGTTAAATTGCCCCATGAAGGTGTTTACATTTCATCATCTGTGTGGGAACATTTTCTAGCACTTTCAACAAAATTGGAGATTTGTACTTAAAAAAAAATCCTTGCCAATGTGCTGCTACTAGTGTCCTTGATCTCAGCCTTTCCAATCTTCTCGAGGTCTTTGTTCTTGAGAAAATACAGCAGGCTGGCAAAGAGCTTGGTTTGAATCTGGCTACAGGACTTGCTATTTTTGTGACCTCAGACAAATTACTTGACCTTTCAGACTCTTCAATTCCTCCCCTTTAAGTGGGGCCCATAGTAGCACCAACTATTAGGGTTGCAAGAATTAAAAGACAAAGCATGCGGGTGTTTGGCATGGGCCTGACACAGACAACATGTTTTTTAAATGGACACTTGTTGTCTCTCCTATCTCTTCAATTTACTCCGTCTTTTCCCTGTCCTTGCACACCTGCTCAGGTGGTCTTGCTCTAAACAAACTGGTCCCATGGCCTCCCTTGAACTGGCCTCCCTTTTCCATCCGCCTTCCCCTCCAACCTCGGCCCACGCACGCCCAATCTCACCCCAGAAAGGTCCTGTGACCTCTGATTTACCACATACCACGGTATCTGTGAGTCACAGAGTTGTTCCTTTTAAAGGAATCTTTAGATGTACAGTGGAAACAATTGGAGACATTTCCCTTAATGGACATCCTAATATTTCTCAGATTTTGTGCTTTAAAAAAGCTCTTTGAAAACTTTTTGATAAAAACATACTTCAAATAACTGCTTCTGCCGCCACATGTTTAAAAGTAAAATTTAAAAATTCAAACAAAAGAAGACACTTTAAAGAAGTCCCTCAAGATACTTGGAGAAGAAACCCCTTCTCTCACCCACTGGATAGACTTCTGCAGAGGCCACAGGCAAACTTTTGATCTCTCCCTTGCCTGTTCTGCCCATGAGGGGCTCTCAGAGATGGCCCTTCCCTTCCTCTTTGTCTGGAACAATCCTGGACTAGTGCCTCTTTCCCTCCTGTTGAGATGACCAAACCCCACCCTGGCTGGTCTACCCCATGCTCTGCCTCTCTATTCCAATGTGTTTGAAATGGTACAGCCAGATGGAGCTCCCTAAGTACAGCTCAGCATCCTTCTCTTCCTGCTCTAAAATGCTAATGATTTCCTCTGCTTACAAATGGAAACCAAAGCTCAAAAGTTCTTCAGTTAGTACCTATACCTCCACTGGCTTCAACCAGTTTCCCAGCTCTAGCAGCTGCTCTTATCCTAAAAGATCCCAGAGACATTCTTTCCTCAAGCCACTCCCTTTACTCCTAATGATTTCTGTAGCCATCTCTACCTGCACAAATTTTACCCATCTCCAGAGCCCCATTTACATGGCAACTCCTACATGAAGCCTGCTTTCATTTGCAAGGCTATTGTGCATGCTTTTGGACATCTAATGGTCCTTTTCCACAGTGCCCAGTTTTGTGGTCCCTGGGCCAGTGCCTTGCCCACTGGATTTTAGGCCCCAGGATAACCTGACTAGTCACGTCATATGTATATGATTCCCAGACTGCAGCCTGGGGCCAGCACTTCTTAACTTTGCCTTCAAAATACTAAACAATCAACAAGGGTACATGTACAAGGGTACATTTGTATACCTAACCCTGAATTGTACTCCGCATCTTTAAAAAAAAAAAAAAAAAACAACTCAAAACAATAAACAAAATACTGAAAAATGACAACAAAACTTGAATGGAAAAAGTTTACTGAATATCTCAGGGTTGGGATTTAAAGAATGAAATGTAGGTCCTTACTCTCAAAAATATGAACAAGAAAATAACTTTCTCAGAGGGAAAATAACAGTACGTACTGGACAACAGAAAGAATGAAAACTGGGCTACTCCAAGCCATAAAGCAGCAATTACAAATTCTATCAGTTCCATCAAATGCTTTAATGTGTAAAGAATTTAAGATTTTGGAAAATACACCATTTGATAGCAAAACACAGAATATATGATTGTGAAATTATAAACCCAAATCCAGAAATCTTTGGGCAGAAATGAACCTACTAGACTCTATTTTTTTTTTCTTTGACTTGGAGTCTCACTCTGTCCCCCAGACTGGAGTGCAGTGGCCGCTCCTGGCCACTGCAGCCTCGACCTGCTGGGCTCCGGAGATCCTTCCACCTCAGCCTTCCATGTAGCTGGAACTACAGGTGCGCGCTACCATGCCCAGCTCATTTTTTAAAATTTATTGTAGAGATGAGGTCTCACCAAGTTGCCCAGGTGGGCCTCGAACCCATGGGCTCAGGCAATCCACTCACCTCAGCCTCCTAAATGCGCGGGATTACAGGCTGAGCCACCGAGTCTGGCGACTCTATTTTTTTAAATGGAAAAAAACAAACAAGTGATCACCGACTATGCAAAAGGTCACTTCCCACATACAGCACAGGGTGTGGGTATGGGGCTGAATCCTTTGCACCCATGGTGTGACTGCTGCTCTCTAGGATGCCCAAGGCACAAGCAAGATTCACAAACACAGCACCCTGTGCTAGGTGCAGTCAGGGAGGCTTTTGCAAGGAGGGTATTGTGACAAAATAAAACCCAAGCAAAAATATTTAAATTCCCCCTAGGCCGTTAACCTTTGTCTGCCAAACAAGACAGATGTGGCTCCATTACAATCTGGGCCCATAGGGACCATCCCGTCTCCCAGTGCTCCACACACTTACTCTGGGTCTCACAGTCCACACAGTGGGAGTTCCCGCGGATGTTTCGGATCGACTGCAGGGCCATGGCCTCACTCTGGCTTGTCAGCCGGGACTGGACAAGGAGGAAGACACAACAAAGGCAAGGTGTAAGAACCCCGGAAGAAACGTATGTAGCTCATCATCAACAGATCATGAGCAAATATAGGATGAGGGTAATTTCCAAACAATTGCTACTCTTTTGATGTCTTTAGGTAAAAGCACAATTGAGGGAGAACTCACCACGTACTGACTGGAAACACCACATGTCAGGACTCATCCACCGAGACCGACTCTACCAAAAGTGGATCATTGTGAGTGAACATGTGACCCACTGTCACCTGGAGAAGGTAACTGGGTTATGTACGCTTATTGCCACGAGTCTACTTGGTATGATGATTAAAGAACGAGAGAGAGAGAGATAATCTGTTTAATAGCCAGGGGTCAGGGCTTAATCAGCACCATAAGACGTATCTCATGGTTCCTTGTCAGCAAATCCATCCACAGTACACGTCACTGCCAGGAGTCACTTTTCATTAGAAAACTACCTCAGTTGCCGTAGCAACAAAGTCACTCACTGGAGTGGGGGCAGGGAGAAATGTGAGCAGCTGGAGACGTTGAATCTTACACTTATACTCTGTGGTCTTTTTAAAAAAGGATTAAAAAACATATATGCTTTTGCAGCAAGTTTAGAAAATACAGAGAAAAAACTCTGATATCCATAGTTAAGCATTATTAACATTTTGGTATCTGTTCTTTTAGCTTTTGTTCTAAGCATACCTACACATACACATGTACTTTAAAAAACCAGCACAATACATATTGCTGCTTTGGAATCTATTCTTTTACCCTAGTGACGGCTGCTCATTACACGATGCTACCACAAATTCTCTGGCACCATCAGTTTAAATGACTGCATAGTATTCCACTTAGTGATGGTTTATTTATCAAGTTCTTTCGGTTTTCCCATCATAAATACTGCTGTCAAGAATCTTGACACACATTCAAGATTGTTTACTAAGGATGAATTCCTGGAAGTGAAAGGATTACTAGGTCAAAGGATATGCACAATTTTAAAAGCTTATTTATTAAATATGCATTTAATATCAAATATGAACATTAAATATTAACATCAGAGCAAAAGTTGATCAATTTCACACGATATTGATTCTTGTGTAAGAATTCTTCATAAATTGAATTATTTTGTGTCAAATTGATGTGAAACAATTTCCAAGCTTCACACCTTACACCTGTTCAGCCAGTGTCCACGGTTACCAGGTGTGAGTCTGCAGCCTTCTGGCTGCTCAATAAGTCCTCCTCCCAGGAAGCACACTTGTTTAGTGAGAGCCAAGGGGCAGCATTCAAAAGCTGGTGCTTGCATCAGCCCAGATGAACTGGGAAAAGTCTAACAAGGGTGGGTGGAAGAGGAAGGGCTAACACCATACCCTGATCTTCCTGAACCAGGTAGAGGTGGTGTGGATTCAGAGTCTCAAGTGAGACTGATTTTCCCATAAAGTGTAAACGGAGATGTGTTTCTCTGATTAGTAACACGTTTCCCCTGCCACTTCCTGCTCAGAAATGAGATCCCTATGCTTTGTGGATGTCACATGTTATTGTTCCTGGTTGAGGAGACCCCAAAGTGCCTTGTGCTCTCCTCTGGAGACACGTTGTGGCTGTGTGCGGACGTGACCTAGTAAAGCCAGGATGAAAGACAGTGCTTCTCCCACCTTGGGTATAAAACATCTTTTAAAAAGGGAAGCAAATTACATTATAATAATAATGACTGTGGTCTGGTTTACCCTGGTTAAAGAGGGTAATAAAATAAGACACTCTATCTTTCTGAAAGACAGACTCCTTTTTTAATGACAAAGCTGAACATAAATCATTGACAGAAATTTCTTTAAATGGTTACAAATGAAATTGCAGGTTGGTGGGCAATATCCTTTCTCTGTTTTCAGTTGGTCATAGTTTTAAAAAATCAAAATGATCGCCAAAATTCTAAAATGTGCCAGCAAAGAGGTTAAAAACATCCAAGCATTAAAATAAAGGAATTGAACGAATCCTTGATGGGAAAATTGACTTTTGCATAAGGACTACTGGGCAGTAGCCTAGAAAATGCAGGCTAATTTTTTTTTTAGCTAACAACTATAAAAAATGACCTTTAATGAATTTTTAGTTAAAAATTTTGGGAGGGTTTCCAGTGAAAACCAGAAAACCTGCTAGACAAATTCTAAAAGAGTTATAACACTACCTCTAATTATTGAATAAAATGCATATCAGGCTCTATCAGTGATTTAGAAAATAGAAACTTTATCTTTCCCAAACTCCTTGCAAACTCATACACGTGCTTCTACTTTTTATTTACATCCCTAAGAAGACTCAGCTCCCAGTTTGACATGGACTTGAATTTCGGGCACTTATGAGAACAGAAAAGGGCATCTTTCAAGTTTGTGCCTCTTTTCCTGAGTATATTCTGTTCAAAACAAACATAAATGTGAACACATAAGCCCCAAGAGCCCAAAAGGCTCCATCTAGGATTAGTTGAGAGAGTAAAGATTTAATATTGGATATTCTGCCATGGAAACGTAGTCGAGCTAGGATACTCATGTATAATGCATACAGACACAATGTATTTTTTTTTATCTTTTAAATTATTGAGCTTTTGGCTCACAAAGAATAGCTGGGTCTTGTCATTCACACGTATCATATATTTTTCTGTTGCTGGGGCATCCCTCTGGGTCTCTATTCCTCCTGAACGGCTGGTGACAGAGGACTTGGCTTTGGACAGACTGCGGTCTCACCTTGTTCTTGCTGCTCTCGCATGACTGCAGGCTGGCCAAGATCTGGCTCTCAATGGCTTGGACCCAGGCATCCCGCTCTTCATACGTGGTGGCTTCAAAGTGCCATGTTTGGCCAGTGAGGGACACGATGATAAATTCAAAGTTTTCTTCTTGTTCTGAAACACAGTGTGGGGATGAAGAGTTTAGCTTTCATGAGACAGAAGGCGCCAAGCTGGTTCCCTATCATAAAAGCGCCTCTGGGTTCAGCTGCATCTGCATGGGGCAGGCGGCACACACAGGACCAGACAACTATGGCTGCAGAGATCTGAACCCAGACACTCCAAACACTCAAGATGTGGCTTCGAAGGCCAGCATGGCTTAGCTAGGTTTCAATCAATGCTCAGGGGACAAGGATAAGTGATGTTCGTGTCTCTGTGTTGGGCATAAACAAAGCAACGGAGGCAAATAATTTTGTAACTTATTGTGGACCTTCCTTATCTGTGGGGTGAAGACTAAGTGCTGCTAATCTTAGGATGTGGTTTTAGTTCTTATATAAGTGCCTGCATGTAGAGCCATAGATTCATCATGGCAAAGAGGAATGCCGGAAGGTTCCTGTTCTTTTATGACAGAGGACTCATTACAGTGGGAAAGGCTTTGATTACCATTGTCTTAAGACTGGAAGGGTGTGTGACTTAGGGGCCCCTCAACCTAGACTTGTAGGCTCCAGACATGGCAGCTGCTGTGGGGCAACTGGAACAGAAAGAGAGGAATTGGGGTTTACACTTTGGGCCCCCCTTGCCACATCTGAGTCTTTTTTTTGAGTCGGAGTCTTACTCTGTCACCCATGCTGGAGTGCAGTGGTATGCTGCTCATGGCCACCACATCCTCGACCTGCTGGGCTCAGGAGATCCTTTCGCCTCAGTCTTCCAGGTAGCTGGAACCACACCTGGCTAATTTTTTGATTTATTGTCGAGACGAGGTCTCGCTATGTTGCTCAGGCTGGTCTCGAACTCCTGAGCTCAGGCAATCCTCTCACCTCCGCCTCCCAAAGTGCTGGGATTACAGGCTTGAGTCGCCGTGCCCGGCCCATCTAAGTCTTTAGACAAGTTTCTCGACACCTCTGAAGCTCATTTTCCCCACCCGTAAGACAGAGAAAAAGGACAGCTGCTTCCTAGTACTTTCTCTCTTCTTTTTTTGGGGGAGGGGAGGGGAGTTAGGGTTTCACTGTCCTCCCAGACTAGAGTACAGAGGCAAAGTCATGGCTCACCGCAGCCTCACCCTCCTAGGCTCAGGTGATACTGTTGCCTTAGCCTCCAGAGTAGCTGGAACTATGGGTATGAGTCACCACACTGGGCTAATATTTTGATTTTTTTTTTTTTTTGGTAGAGATGTTTTTACTAGGCTGGTTTTGAACTCCTGGGCTCAAAGTCAGAGATTACAGGTGTGAGTCACTGCACCTGACTCCTAGTGCTTTTCTTACTGACTTATGCTGACTCAGGGCCTGGTCCAAAGAAGATACTGCATAAATATACATCAGTCTTTGTCCTATGATTGCATATCCACTCGCAGACCACAAGTCCACGCCAAAAGACAGGAGGTGCCACTTGTAAAAGCAGAACCAGTTACAAATAACCATTAGGAAATGGTTTTTGGATTTCAGATACAACATCTCATTTGATAAGTAGTTTCTTGTCACTTTCCTATGAACTAGCTGCATTATAATCACCTAGTGAGCAACTGTTATTTTAATAATGTAATCAGCTGGGTGTGGTGGCTCACACCTATAATCCTAGTACTTTGGGAAACTGAGACAGGCGGATCACTTGATTCCAGGATTTCAAGACCAGCTGGACACCATAACAAGATCTCCTCACCACAATAATAAAAATAAAATAAATTAGCTGAGAATGGTGACATGCTCCTGTATTCCCACCTCCTACTCAGAAGGCTGAGGAAGAAGGCTCCAGCCTGAGTGACACAGCAGACCCTGACTAAAAAAAAAAATAATGTAATCACCTACCTACCAACCACTTTACTCATTCAGTCTTCTGCACGTCACCATTTGGCTGGCTTGTACCTACTGATCTTCTACCCTCGGCTCCTCTAGCCCAGCTTCCAAGCACCACTTACCTTCTCTACCCTAGGCTGCTCTCCCAAGGCCCTTCCTCACTATGTGCCCTGCAACCACAGACATGAGGACGCTCACTTATCCCATCTCTTGCTTCCTGTTTCTGAAGCAACAGCACACCTCTCTAGCTATCCTTTTCTCATTCCCTTCCATTGTGGTAGATACACATTCCTTCCTTTGTGGCTGAGAACCCCTTCTACCTGATCCCATCAACGCTGCCAAGCACTCACAAGGGGATGCTTGTGTCCTCAATGCACTGTTTCCGTAAATAACCACCACTGATTACCAGGGAAATAAGACCACATCACTTACATATGAAACTTACATATTCTGAAAAGAAGGTACAGCTGGCCCTCGGTATTCATAGATATTGGTTCCAGGACCCCGAAGGATACCAAAATCTGTGGATGCTCAAGTCTCTGATATAAAATGGTATAGTATTTGCATATAACCTACACAGATCCTCCTGTATACTTTCAATCATCTCTAGATTACTTATAATACCTAATACAACGAAGTAGAATGCAAATAGTTGTTATATTGTGTCTTTTCTTTTTTTTTGCATTGGAGTCTCACTCATGTCACCCAGGCTGGAGTGCAGTGGCATGCTCATGGCCACCGCAGCCTCGACCTGCTGGGCTTAGGCTATCCTTCACCTTAGCCTTCCAAGTAGCTGGAACTACAGATGCATGCCAACACACCCAGCTAGATTTTTGTGATTTATTGTAGAGACGAGGTCTCACCAAGTTGCCCAGGCTGGCCTTGAACTCCCGAGCTCAGGCAATCCTCTAGCCTCGGTCTCCCAAGGTGCTGGGATTACAGGTTGAGCTAACGCGCCTGGCCTAGATTATATCTTTTAATTATTTTTTATTGTTATATTACTATTTAAACAATTTTTTGGAATATCTTCCATCTGCAGTTGGTTAAATCTAAGGACGCGGAACCCATGGATATGAAGGACTGACGGCATTGTGTTCTGTATAAAATAAGCGCCATGGCTCTTTTAGAATATAACTGCCTGGTGAGTTGAATCTAAACTCATGCAACTTGTTCTGAACAGAACCCAGAGGTAGGGCAGGTGGCAAAGCCCTTGGCTTCTCCTATAAGAGTGTCCAGCCTCAGATAACAAAATGACATCTCTCTGACCAGAGGGCCCAACGGCCCCCACCAGCCTCTCAAGGTCTCTGACTAATGCTGGTAGCCACTGCCTTGTGAGCATATTCTGGGGCTGCACAAAAGTGCTGTGATGAGGATGCTCAGTGTAGGTCAGACCTGGGCCTGAAACCCTGGGCTCTGGCTGGTTAGCCCTCCTTGGGGTGTCAGCTCTGAAGCCAACTCTGAAACAGGTTGACCTTTGAAGGGGGCCCACCCAGGCTGCTCCATGGAGTGTGAGAGGAGAGAGGCACTCTTAAAAAAAAGTTCTCAGCTCACTTGCAGGTGAGCGTCCTCTACTCTCTGAATTCCTTTGGTTTCTGACTTCTGAGAGCTAGTGCTCAAGGGTCAAAAGTGAGGGATTTATCCAGAAATTTACTCCAATATACTGGCTCTTGGAGTCTGGAGAACAAGTGACCCCTAAATTTATGCAAAAGCAAAATATCTCACCTCCTGAGGAAAGGGAGGTGAAGAACAAGGTAGGGATTGGGGTTGTCTGCAGGTCCCAACCTCTACTTTTAGAACGTCCTTGGACGCTTGGGGACTTTTGGGCTTTTCACTAAAAAAAAAAAAAAAAAAAAATCAGGATGACTTTCAAATAGGTTCTTCCACAGCCGACCAGCAACGATACCTTTCAGGTATTGGCTGAGACACTGCGCCTGTGGATTTTAAAAGGTTCAGCTTCTTGATCCATGAGCTTTTATGACCTAATACTATGAATTACAACCTTTTCCACACAGATTCTTACAAGATAGTGTCCCAATTCATGTATTTTATGCAAAATGATCCTAGTGGACTGATAGGTGAGGCAGGAAAGAACTACATAATTCACAGTTAAGATCAGAAGGAAAACTTGGTAATTCATGGGTAGAATATGACAATTTGTCATTAGGAGATCTACTGAACAGGCTCATGCTTTTTTAAATCTGTGAAATTCAAATGTACATATAAAAGCTCCCCCTGATCAGGATTTATTGGATCTTCTAAAGAAAAAAATTACAACCATTAGCTTCCCAGTTAAGTTTCTGCATAACTGGTCCGCCATAAAGCTTTCCTGTTCAAATGTCATGAGCTACAGTCACTGAACTAAAGGCAAAGAGCAGAACTTGCTTTACACTGTGGCTCTCGGCTAGGCACGGGGCTGGGTGAGAGGGACTCCAGCGTCCAACAGACAATCTGTGCTCTCTATATGTCTCTACGTGGCGGGGCCAGGTACATACATGCCCACAGATGACAGAACACAAAGTGATGAAAACAACAATGAAGAGCCGAATGAAGTGCCACGGAACACCTGCATTTTTGTCTCACTCCAATGCAGTAACTGAGCATCTTTTACTGTAATATTCTCAATGTCTTGTACAAAGACAAACTTTCAAATTAAATTGCTACGGTAGAGTTTGGCTTTGCCCTATTATGTAAACAAAATTCACCTATGCGTGCAAAATCTCAAGTGAACATATGTATTTAAGAATCCATTTCTTGCAAATTTCCAAATGTGCTCCTTACAGTATCTGTTCTATGGCCTAATCACTCATGTTAAAAATCTATTCCACCACAATCTTTTCCTTCTACCGGACACAAGTTCCCTTTTCTAGTATCTTCTAGTTCTGTCTTTCTAACATCTAGTCACTATACATTTCTGTCACTCCTTTCAGTTCCTGGTCCTTTTCCACCCCTATACCTCTCTGTGTCCTTTATGTAGTTCCTCACACTTTCTTGGGGACCTGGATTTGGCCATGATTTCCTCACTTTCTTTTTTTTTTTTTTTGAGTTGAAGTCTCACTCGGTCGCCCAGACTGGAGTGCAGTGGCCGCTCCCGGCCACCGCAGCCTTGACTTGCTGGGCTCCGGTGATCCTTCCGCCTCAGCCTTCTGAGTAGCCGGAATTACAGGCATG